TATTATAAATTAAAATAGTTTTTTTATAACTTAATATAATATCTTTTTTAATAACTTCTAGAGTAAAAATAATTCTTACTTTTTTTAATATATTTTTTATAAATAATTACTAAGTAATATATATACTAAAATAAAATATAATAAAACTTAGTAAAATAGCTTACTTACTTATCTAGCTTATTTACTTATTAATTATATTATATATAGCTTTTAATATATATTTAAGAAGCTCTCTAAAAAGATTCTATCTAGTCTTTTATCTATATACTTATATAGTTAGATAGAAGCTTTATTAGAGGGTTATTTATATATATATATTTAAGAATATATATATATATATAAAGAAGGAAATAAAAGAAGAGTAGGGGAAAAAATAGTTAAAAAAAATTAATAGCTATTTTGCTAGCTAGATAATTAGTTATTAGGCTTCTTACTGCCTGTTATCTGTTCGGCTTCTTCTTGCCTGGCAGCGCTTCTTAAGGCCTAGCAACGCACCCTGCAATATCACACAGGGCATGTCTAGAGACCCCCCTCCCGCGTAGGTACCTTATACACTAAATCTTTCACACTTCTGTACTCGAGGCTCTTCCTCTCTAGTTCGCTTCTGGGCCTCTCATTTCTTCTTCTTACTCTTCCTTATTTCTCTCATTTCGCATATCGTCAGCCAGTCTTCTTGGAACACCTGTGGAGTACGTTGTCATTCCCCGGATTCAGGCTATGCAGGACAAGCGCGGGAATGGAACCAGATAAGGTGAAATGGGTAATTTGACTCATTATCAAAATTCGACAGAGCCCTCTCTACAAAGCGTAGCAAAGACCAAATGCTCAAACTATAGAATGGAGAAAAGTCCATTATGCCGTCTCTTCCCGCTCGCGTGTGGCATTCTGTATTTTCATCCAAATTGGCATATATCCGCTTTCTTGCTTCTTCGTCCTGATAACTGGTAGACAGATGTATTTGAGTGACATGCATCGATTCGCAATGGTGATATGAATTGCTTTTTTCCCTCGCGACCCAAGGTCCAGCCTGATGGGCCTGGCAGCCTCTCAGCCCCAAGTTTGCGCGGGTCTTTGCAGATAGCGAGCTGATGACCCCAATGATAGCAACCTTTTACCGCATGATCTCTTGGTAGATGAGCTGCTTCAGCTGCTCTTTGCTCAGGTTGTCCTTATGCTTGTCAAAGTCGAAGAATTCCTCGGGAATCGGAGGGGCGGTCGGCTCATCTTCGGGGTCGTGGTAAGGCTCCAAATACGGGTGCTTAAGAGCCTCCTCAACCGTGATTCGCTTCACGGGGTTAAAGGCGAGAAGCTTTTCCAGCAGGTCAAGGGCCAGATCAGACGTGTCGGCGAATAGCGTGCGGAAAAGGACCTTCTTCTTGAAGGGCAGCGAGCGGATATACTCACGAGCGCGGCGCGACTTGATCCCGTAGTAATCTTCCATGGTGGGGGTGCCAAGGACGTCGAGAATCAAGGTCAGCTGGTGGTGATCTGCACATAGGTCAGTTTTGAGCAGCAAGTCAAGTCTAAAGGAATCACAAACAATCCTTGCCGGGGAACAAGGGCTTCCCGCTCAGCATCTCGGCGAGGATGCAGCCCACAGACCAGACGTCGATGGCCTTGGTATACTCCTTAAAGGTCAACATAATTTCGGGTGCACGGTACCAGCGGGTAGCAACGTATTCGGTCATGAATCCAGAATTGTCTTCCTGCGAAGCGGCGGATCTGGCAAGACCGAAATCGCAGACCTTGAGATCGCAGTTGGCGTTGAGGAGCAGGTTGGAGGGCTTGAGATCTCTGTGCAGCACATTGGCCGAGTGCATAGCCTTGAGTGCCCGTAGGGTCTGGTAGATGAAGTATTGGCAGTGGTCATCGGAAAGTACCTGGGTACGAATGACTCGGTGCATGTCGGTCTCCATGAGCTCCTGCAGAGCGTTAGGGGCCGGTTCATTATTGGCTGCCTTTGCCGGCCGAGAGATGTTTAACGGCGGTGTTGGACTGAGCTCACCTGAATGAGATACACTTCGTTGAACGAATCAAAGCCTCTGGGCTTCTGAATGTCGAGAATGGAAATGATGTTTTCATGATTGAAGTATCGAAGAAGCTTCATTTCGCGGAGGGTTCGAAGGCAGAACATGGAATGATCGAAGGGTGTAATCTTCTTAATGGCTACTTTTTGGCCAGATGGCTTATGGATGGCGGAGCTGAAGGCAGAAACGGCCTGTGAGCGGTGGCAGCTTCGCAGGGGTCGAACACATTACTCACCAGACAACGCCGTAAGCCCCTTCACCAACGACGTCCTGAATATCGTACTGTTCGCTGACATTGAAAGATATTTTGCGCGACGCCGAGGCGTTATTGGGAGGGTTTGCGCGGGACATGATGGATGGCGGTGGGGTAGCGCAATCGGTCAAGATACCGGCCAAGATGTCGCTTTTGCCGAGTTATGATGACCAGACTAGAGTTTTCGTACAAACGATGAATCAGTATGAGGATTCAAAAGAGTTTCTCGGTGCAGAAAAGCAGCTTGTCAGTCGGCCAAGGATGCAAGCGCCAGGACGAGAATTCAGGGCCGTCGATGAGAACAAGCTGAGCTTTGTGGAGGGGTTTATTTGAATGATGAATGGGCCAAAAGTTCCCCGCTTGGGCCTCGTGTTGTGGAGGGACGGGAGCTTCTCGCTGCCCCAGGGTATTGCCCCGACACGAACAGACGTGCTCGACAATCTTGCTGGGTAGAACGCCCAGAAAATATGTACTGGTTGAATGGCGGTTGATCTCGAGGCTCGCGTGCCAATATGAGTTACTTCTGGTTGCTTCTGTTTTCTCTCCTTTTCTTTGCGCTTTCGTGCAAAAGAGCGACACAGCGTCTTTTGCCCCACCAGCTAGGATCAATCTGTGGCGTCGGGAGGGAACCGGTTAGTAACGGAGGTTACGCAGAAGCAACGAGCAAAAAAAATGATCAAAAAAGTCCTCGCGGATTGGTGTCCTTCAACGTTTGCCTTGTACGTCTTGTCTGCTTGAGCCGTTTGGTGCATTAGAAATTGGCTAGGGATGACAAGTGTGAGGAGCAAGGCCCAGGCACAACATAACGCAGCGCAACCTGAATCGCCGTGTGGATAAGACAACCCGCGCCAGGCACTAGTTAACTAGTTGAACAGGAGATAGAAACCCGGGACCTGACCCAAGACAGGGCCGTCCCGCTCTGCAGCGCTTTGCCGGGCCAGCTTGACACAGCAAAAGCCTCTTCGGCAGTAATAAGCCAACACTGTTTGGCTATGAAGAAGAAAATGATGATACTGGTGGCAATTTTGCTGAGCTCTGGCCTTCCACCTAGCCCGGTCTGTGTGGTGCGAGTCCCCCAACTTTGGGAACCTGTTCAGTGACAGGCCAAGCCCAAGCACAGAGGCTCCAGCGCCAGAGCATTTCGACGCTCGCAACGCGGGGTCCTTGTTTTAGAACTGCGCAACAGGTCGTAGAAGCAGACCGCTCACTTCAATGCTTGCGTGCATTAGAGGGACAAGTCAGGCACGGCAAGGCACCAGACATCGTGCATACTCGAGCATGACAATAATGAGCCGCATAGCCGTAGACGAAGAGCAGAAAGAAGAAAGGCACTGAGGGCAGGAACCCAAACAAACCGTCTGCAGGAGGCACGATGCTGGACTAACAGCCACCTCTCGCAGTTCAAGTAGGAAAAGACAAAGCTGCTTAACTTACAGGTATTGTATCGATACCTGCTGATTTATGGCTCGTGTTAACGAGCCGCAGATTTTGGTAGGAAGAAACGGGAGCAGAGCGCGTACAATCGCCAAATACGGTTTTGCGAGAGTCAACTTTGCCAGAGCTTCCTACAGCTGCGAGACGAATATCCAACAGCGGCTCCAAGAAAATTTACCCCGTAGGTCCACTTGTTGGTCCAGTGCCTGCTTGCGCCGGCGGTTACCTCCTGCATCCAGCATTGGCCCTTTTAAGTTTGTGCCTCAACTGCGACACGCGCCAGGAGCAGTCAGCTTCGCCCCTCGCGAAGCGTTGTACCAAAAGTCTCCCAAAGCTAGCGGCATTGACAGATCGGCGAGGACCAGGCCCGCTTGGCTGGCCAGATACATAAAACGAATTTGGACAAGAAATGCCAGTACCAGATCCCCTTCGTCCAAAGTTGCTTCTTTGAGACACAAGCGCAGATTCGTCGACGCACTCCCGGGGCTTTTAACACGCCCGTCCATGTGACGCTGCCGGAGAAGTGAAAACCTTAGCAACCTAAGTACTGAGCCCTCACTGAACCAGAGAACAATCTATCGACAACAGGCTATCTGGCAAACAAAAGACGCAGTGACTGATGTCTCTAGTATCGCCATTGACCCTACCTCCTCTCCATACCCTTACAAGATTACGTATAATTAGCAATCTATCCATCACTCGTTTTCTGTGTCGCCCTAAAGGCATGCCCACATCGCGTGTTACAGAGGCGTAGCTCCACACACGTTTCACCACCGCCAACTCTGGGCCTTGGATGAAGACGCCTCCGAAACCAATATTGCACTGCACCTTCCCCTGGTCATTTGCCCGCCTCATCTAGTAGCATCATACAGTTAGACATAAAAATATTCTATGAATCATAGACGAATCTCATCAATTGGCACACTTGCAAATAAGATCACTCCTGGGCCATTCACAATCCGATTCCCATCTTGCCAGAGCCCCACTTGCTGGCGGCGTCAATTGTAGCCCGGCGCGTAGTCGAAGCCTTCATTGGTCACTATGCTGTGCCCCTGCTTAGTCCCTCCTCCTTCGCAGCCAGGCAGCCTGCCGATGGAATGAGTACTCTCCCTTCAATGCGCTGAGAGAGGCAAATGACATCATTGCGATTGATCTGCTGGCTGGCTTTGAAGACTTCATCTAAATGTAGCGAGCCACCTGCCATCAATTATGACCAACAATAGCTACCTGTTCACCATTTTGGAGATCTTGCAGGTTAACACAAAAGCGTCGAATTGATCTAGAATATATTCTTTCTTTTCAACGTCATCCTCCTCAGCCAAAATATATCATGCGCCTCTTGCTTAACCCCCTTCATTGATCATGCCGTCTTGAATCTACAACTGCACCTCTTGACCGCAAAACTTTTGATTGACCGACATCGCTACACATACTAGCCAATAGAATTACTGCACAACCTGGGAAGTGAAAATCGTTAGTCCAAGCCTCCTAAAAATGCCACGTCTCACAGGTGGCAACATACCTTCTCTCGCAAAATGCCCAGCCACTGGGCGGCGCTGACGCTCTGGTCCGCACGATCCTCTACCAACAGTGTTTGAGCCCACAACTTCAAACTAGGCTCGCCGTCCTCGCGCACAATATACAGATGAGGCACCGTAATGCTGCCAACACCGAGGGAGCGATGGTCTCTGCTCTTTTGAACCACGGCACGTACTCTCTCGTTGAAATCTCCTTCTAGCTCGGGTACGCGGCCCTTACCGACATGGATATTCGTGCGGTCGTCGACGCCAAAGACATCGGCGATAAGCTGGGGAACGGCGTCGCGGCCAACCCAGAGGAACTGCGTCTGTCCATCATCAATCAGATACAGGCCGTGTGAGGCCAGCCTCTCAGAGGTGAGGTTCAGAGGCAGCGGCAGCACAATCTGTCCAGTTTCGCCATCACTGATGCCGGCCGTATCAGGCATATCGTGCAGCGAGTACAAGCGGGGGTAAATGTAGCGCATCAGTAGAGGCACGGGCAGGGTGGAGAGCAGACAGAGGGCCGCAGATCGGATATCAGTGGGGATCTGCGCCGATTTGCGAAGACCGACATTCTTCATCAGACCGAGGAACAGTATGGGCAGGCCACGCAGATTGGCAGGGAACTGCAAACCACCGCCCATGCTGCCACCAGCTAGCTCTTTTCTGAAAGTCTGAAGGAGCTCTGTAACCTTGGCTTGCAGCGCGTCGCGGGCCGCGTCCAGGCCGCTGCTGAGAACTCTCTCAACCGCCTTGTGGGTAAAGTAAGTTGTGATAGCGCACTGGTCAGCCGAGGCATAAACATCCGATAGGTTAGTGGTCGTGGGCAGAGCGACGGTCAAGACGCGGATGCGACGCTCGCCGTTGCAAGTTGTGTGGAGAATGGCAGCCTGGAAGCAAACCACGTTCTTGGTCAGGTTCTCGTCAATCGCAACTTCGACAACATAGCACTGATCGCGGGGAAAAGCGGGGAAAGAGCAGAGGTCGGAGCTGCGATTAAAAAAGTTGCCATAGAATGTGTTCATGCGAAGGCCAGTGGTGGCACGCACACGAAGAACAGCCTCGAGACCAATCTCGGAAGAAAGATGATCGCTGAACTCGGAAGCAAACTTGAGCGCATCCTCGGGTCGAGAAGCGTGCCAGCCAGGATAGAACCAGGTCTGACCACCAGTGTACCTGGGGAGGTTGCTGAGCGAGGCAACGTCTTGGTATTGGGACGAAAATAAGAACATGTCGACAGAGACCTGATTCTTGGAGCACTCCACAGCAAAGCTCTTGTAGAAGCTGTTGCCAGTTTGTAGCAGCGCGCCCTCCTTGGATGTGCCGAGGACCTTCTTGTCTTCGCGCATCTCGAGCTTGCCAGCGCCAACATTGGGCAGAGAAGCAGTCAGAACAATGATTTTTCCACCGAGAGAAGAGATGAGCTTATGACCGGCGCGCAGGGCAGGTCCCATGCATGAATTGTTGCTCTGATTGTTCTGAAACATTTCGGGCAGCTTCTGCAGGAACCTCTCGACACTCTGGCGAGACTCGGACAGAGGCACGAGTAAATCGTGGGGGACAGGAAGAAAAGGCTCCTCCAAATCGCTGACAACAAGCATACTAACCTCCGCATTCTCGTCCTCGTCCTTGGGAATGGAGAAGTAGTGCAGGCTTGCGTCGACAGCCATAAAACCAATGCGAGTGCGTCTGTCGGCATTGGGAATGCGGTTGAGGCTGTCAAGAATCGTGCGGGCACTGGTGGCGAGCAGGCCGCTGGAGATGGCGGCGTAGCTGACGTCAAAGAGGAACAGGTAGACTAGAGGCTGGGGAGGCCTGACCATGTACTCTTGGGGCGCAACAAATTCGACAACGGCGTGGTTCAGCTCAGGTCGCTGCCATCTGTCAACAGTCTTTTGAGTAGCAGAGTCCCAATCAAAAGCCTGCGGAACGTCATTGGTTAGATTGCACATGTTGCAGCGCCATCGGTGGCCGTGGTCCATGAATGTGACGTATGGGTTGATGTAAGTCCTGCAGCGTCGGCAGCGAGAAATGACCTGATCCTGAACAACAGGAACATTGTCTTCGTCGTCGTGGAGAGAGCCATACGGCTGGATAACGAGTGAGAGTGGTAGCTTGGACTTTTTCAACAGCGAATTGGTCGTGGGGACCGCATTGAGAGTCGAGCGAATGTATTTGGGAGGGCAATTAGCTGTCTCAGAACGAGTAACGCTAGACTGCAAGGCAACCATTATTAGAACTTGATGGCGCAAACATGAATATGTGAGAGCTTACATTGGGAGGGAGATTGATCGGCGGCGGTGCCAGATCAAGCTCGGCGACATTGAAAGGCTGGCTCAACAGGTCCGAGGGGTAGAGCTGGTTGAGGGCAGCTTGGCGAGCTTGAGGAGCCATTGGCATCGAAGGCGGTTGCTGGGCGCCCATGTTCATACCTGCGACGCCCTGTGTGATGCCGGCGACATCTTGCCCGCCGGTCTGAGCGGCCTGGTCGGGGGCAGGGTATCCGCCATAGCCTTGTTGAGGAGCACCCGGCTGGGGAGCGCCGTATGTCTGGCCGTACTGATACCCGCCAGCAGCCTGCTGCTGCTGCTGCTGCTGCTGCTGCTGCATGTCGACCTGGGGGTAGCCGCCGTACTGGGGAGCAGGTGGCGCGGCGCCCGGCATCTGGCCACCAGCATTGGCGCCAGTAGCGACATCAAAGGCGCCAGCGGCATAGCCACGCTTCTTCTTCTTGGGCGCGGCGCCGGCAACACCTGCGTCGACTGGAGCATCGGGCTGCTGATGTTGCGGCTGACCCTGGAATTGGCCGAAGCCGTCGCCTGCTGGGGCGGACATGATGGGACGGGCGCGGAAGGTCTAGGTGGTCCCTCTGAGGTCGTCGAGGGCGAGGAGGAAGAGGAGGCGGTGGTAAGCGGCCTCGCGATGGTCCTGCAATTAACCAAGTAGTGCGAAAAAGGGAGCGGGTTTCAAGAAAGAAGAAAAATAGGGACGAAAATGGCGGACGCTGCTGTGGAAAAAATGAGGTGGTGAGGTATCAACGCCGAATGCGAAGGCAGCGACGCAAGGTGGTTGAAGGGCTTCGGCGTTGGGAGTGGTGGCGGGACGTGCGTGGGAGCTCTCTTGAGTTGTCCTGCTGTGGTGTCCTTTTCCCAATCGAGCGGCTCATGTGGGGCTCAGGCAGCCTCCAAGTAGGCCGAGCTAGTAAATTCAAGGAACAGCAAAATGATGCTGTTAAACCTGAATTGCCGCGATGACAGAGCGCACTAATCCGAAGAACATTCTTTTTTTGCTAAATTTGAGGTAGAGACAGCAGTGCAGCGATGGATGTAGATTCAATCGTGCTCCGGCCACGGGATGTCATTGTAGCGACTTTATGGAGAAGCAGAGCAGCGTGGCTTCGGAGCCGGCTTTACTTTTCACCCCGCAAGCTGCAATGTGACGGGGACAAAGCTGCTGAACTACAAATGCTCTTCTCCCGAGGCTGAAGATCTCAGGGCGGATCACATTGACTAGAATAGACGCTATATATGACCCCCCCCCATTTCGCACCCTCTCTCGAATTGTTTTCTCTTCTCGCCTCGATCAATTTCACGAAAAAAAAAGCACAAGGGGGTCAGGCCCTTACATTACTCCGGCGAATAATAGGTAACTTCTGCACTCGAGGTACAACGTACGTCTCACACCTGAACCCTTCTCTCGCGCCCGTCGCATGTGCGCATTCCCCCACTCTCGGCGCGGCAAGCTAAATACGTAGGTAGTACCTAAATAGTTAGTCAGGTAATAGTCACTACTTACAGCGCCGAGCGTCTTCGACAATTCTCTTCTCCAACTTGTCGCTTTGCTATTCTTGCGCCAGTCTTCTTTTGCCCCTCTCCCTTTGATTTAATTTCTTCCTTGAATTTCGACTCCCGCGTTTTAGCCGCCGAATTACATATCAATATCTTCGCAAGATGGGCAAATTCTCCTTATTTCTGTAAGCCACAAAACGCTGCGCTTTAACCGGATCACCTCACCATCGAATCCAACCTGCCTTTTCGCTCTGCGCTTGCCATTTCGCGCTTCCCCCGCCGAAAAAACCCTTCGAGTCCGCCATGCGCAATCGCATCTCGACCCTACAAGACCCATACACCGCAGCCTTCTTCCGCAGACGCAAATAATGCCGAACGCCGAAATCACTGACAAATGTCTTTTGCGCTCTTTAGACAAATCCTCCCGTTGATCATCACCCTCTGTGTCGTCGGCGGCATCGGCTTCGTCCTCTACCACGTCTACCTCAGCGTCACCAAGATGGGCGAGACAGCCTCGCAAAAGATGGGGAAGAAGAACGTTGTCCTCACGAAGGACGGCATGCGCGTCGGTGTCAAGAACGTCAGAAACGAAAGATATGTCGACCAGACCCAGAGCTACGTCGTAAAAGCGTGGAACCTCGGCCAAGCACAAGAGTATGCAGCCCTCACCTTTGCCTTGGCTTCTTTTCCTTCTTTTTTTTCTTGCTCTGCCCCTGAAACAACTAGCCACCCTTATTACAAGCGACCGCCACTAATCTGACATTGTCAAATTAGCGATAAAAAGGCCAACTAACAATCGACGAAAACGAGTTGAAAACCCCGAATCGATACTACAAACGAACAATCCAGACGTCACTCGCTACAAGTTTCATGACAATACGCAACCAGTCTGCAAGGACGACGAAAACTTGAAATGATCGAAACAATCGTCCAAAATAAGCCAAGCTTGGGCGCCAAGAGGGTTGATTTACACCATAATACGCCCATCTACGAAAAATGCGCTTACTAGCCAGTTGAGATTCTTTCATGTTGGATCTATGACTACAAGAGTTGCGATACTTTACACCATCTTTTCATTCCATACACAATTGCAACGCCTACTCTACCATGATCTAATGTCTACGTACAGTGCACGTGTTCGTGACTATCTTCTGCAACGGCGCATTCGTTCACCAGCTGTGCATCAAAATCTGCTTGGAGAAAGGTGTACATTCAATCCGTTCAGCAGAGATGTCCTGCTATGATATCCAAAATCATTTCCTCACGCCGATACATGCAGGACGCTGACCAAGCGTTTTCGCCTGGAAAGTCAAAGTCGTTTATGTGCAGTTTCGTCCCCCGTCCTCTTCATGTCATGCATGCCGTTTTCCTTGCAACCCTTCTGAGATCAGCAAATAGCCCATGATAGCTTTAATGGGCACCGTCACCCGAGAACCTGTAATATGCCAGGGCTGCCTCCCTAGCCGCTCTTTGCTGCTGATCAAACGTTGCCATTCGTTCCCGCTTTTGTCCAAATGTGGACTCAAAAGCCAGTCCGGACGGAGGCACGATTCGGTTAGAGAGAATCTTCTCGAAATCGACCGCTGATGTGTCAACCGAGCCGCTCGCAGCCATAGCGTCTCGCTTGATGAGCATTGAAGGCACTCGAACTTTGATATGCGTCAACATCTTGGCGTACCCAACGCCGAGATCAGACGCAATATATTCGAGTCTACCGTTTGCCCATTCTCTTTGACCAACTGTTGAATAGTCTTGTGTGATGATGCAGCTGAGGGGCCAAGTGACGAAGTAACCAGAAAGGCCCTTGACTTCCGCCTCATCACCGCAGCAATAGCTGGTGAGATCCGAGCGCTCGAGGAGCTCCTGTCGTGTTTTGAACCAACCTAACTGGTAGGGGATAGCCGCACAAAGGTCGGTGATGATGGCCGCACAGGTGTTTGACCAGGTGGCATATTCGGGGGTGGTGCGGTAGTCTATTGGAGAATAAACCCAAGCCACAGCTCTCACAATCATGGATGCCAGAACAAGTCTTGAGCATCGCATTGTGACCCAAACTGTCGTAACCCAGAGGTCTTGGAAGGCGTCAACTCGGCCCGGAAACACTTCCGCCTTGGTGTAGTCGCCATCCGGCAGATCATTCACCCAAGTCACGGGCTTGCCGCGGTAGTTTTCGGGGATACCATCACACCACTGTAATAGCTCCTGATTCTTGGCTTGGCACTTGCGTATGATCTGCACCATTTTCTTGACGTTTTCGGGCGAGTGGTGCAGCGAAACCAAGAGTCTGTTGATCTCCGTCTTGATTTCACTGATTTGTAGCGTGATCCTCTGCAGATCACTGGCAAACGGGTCCTTGATTGCGTCTTTGATCCAGAAATCGACATTACGCGCGGCGGGTTGACCAGAACTGAAAGCGTGAATAATCTGATACGCTTGGGTTAGCAGCTCGTCTTGATAAGAGACCAGGTCATATTGTGTCACTGAGGGTACTACTTACTTGTTGAGTGCGAACTGTAACAAAAATGTCTCGCCCAACTTTGGTCTTAAGCTGCTCTCGACCGCGGTTTTGGACGAGTTGGATGGCGCCTTCAGTGTGTGTGCTCCATGCAAGCATGCCAAAATGCCGAGTAGTAATATTCTCAAATAAGCTGAGAAGAAGTACGGCCGCGACCGTCCCATCCTGCCTTGACTCGAAGGGGTCCTGAATGGCTTGCCCCGTGGTAGCTAGCGCGTTGACGTATTTATAGATTGCCTGCTTCTCCAGATGTTCCGTATTCTTCATTCGGTTACTAAAGTAAGCGAGCGCGCATGCTTCAAAAGCTAGTTTAAAGTGGGGAGAAGGGTTCTCGGCCGTGATGAGCGGGATAACAAACTCGAAATACCCCCGCTGAGTCCCTTGTGGTGGAATCAGGACATAATTTGAGACGAAGTGGTGGGCTGCTCGTTCGCCGATTGAATGAGTTGGCGCCAGCGTGGGGCTTGTCGAGGTTCTTGATCGGACTGAGCCGGATGGAGACCTCTGCTCTGGCGACTTTCTGGAAGATGGCCTCCCGGTCTTGAGGGCCAGGGCCTTGTTGTTTGCTTTGAGAGCCCTTCGTTCGGTAGCTTCTGTCTCGTTGCGGAATACCAAATCAAATTCGTCTTTATAACCAGGACATTCTCGTCGAGACTTTGCACACTGGTTACACTTAGGTTTTGTTTCGTCGCACTGGCCAGATCTATTAGAGTTGATAACGGAAACCGAGCCGCAAATTGGGCAGTCTGGCACACGGGCAAATGCAGACCGCCGCGCGGCGGAATTGTACGTCAACATACCTTGATACGCCTGGTTCTACACATCTGACACCCCCTCGATGGATGGCCAGAGTACACCATCGCTTTATATGCTGACAAAGAGTGAGTTCAAAGAGTGAGGTAAAAGAGTGAGGTATAAAAGAGTGAGGTAAAAGAGTGAGATGAGGAAGGATATCAGCCGGGAAAGCCAGTTTGTTTGTGAGGCAACAACCGTCGTCGTAGACAAGTGAAGAACAAATATTATTACGCGCCGAGTGTAATCGGACCCGGCAAAGCAGAGCACAAACCGTGTTCTGAGAGCTTTTCCTGATCAAGCGTAGGTAAAGCTGTCTTGAGCTGGTAAGTATCTGCGTGTTCTCGTTATGTGTAGATGAAGCAGAGAGTCAGATGTAGATGAAGGAAGGACAAGAGAGCTTGAGAGGGGGAAGATGCGAAAGAATAATGAGAGGGGGCAAGAGAATTTGTAGGAAGAATGATACAAAAAGTTTGCTGGATGTGGTTGCACGATGCAAACGAAGTCATGGCCGAGAGGAACGTCGTGCAACGTTAGAGGCGAGGTCGGCAGGGGTCGCGGCGATGTCGACCTACACAGCAGGAAGAACCGGCAGGCAAGCGATAGAAAGAGCGCGTGAACGAGTAAAGATAAAAGACGAGGGCCAGAAATTATATGTTGCTGTTCCGACAGAGTAGAAACTCCAGCAAGATGATCTATAACTTTTTCGAGACGAGGCCAAGCAAGTCGAGCAAGCGCGGGCAGCAGGGGCTCATTCATCAACGGGGAACATCGCTACCCAGCCAGCCAGCCACTGCCCATGAATATGCCGTCTCATCTTTTCTCTCTACTGACAGAGCTAGTATCGCCGATGAGGCAAACGAAAAAGTACACATCGGTAGTGCAAGCCCAAAAAAAGGATCAGAGGCCCTTGTCTTGAAAGCAAACTGGACCGACCTACTGAGTTTGCACGACACATTTGTTTCGCAGGTCGATGTAGTCCCGCCGCGGTGCCTAGGCCAAATACAGCGACGTACAATCACTCACACGACCTCGACTGTGCTATACATGGCAGGTGATCACTGAGTACGGAGTACAAGAGTCAACAAATAAGCACTCCAAAAGCTCATTCCACGTTCATCAACATTCGAGCCGCCCAGGAGCCGAAAGACTCAGCCAGTCACCGTCCGTCACTCAAGATGCCGACCCCTGCCAGCGGCAATCTGGACAGAAAAAGGACCGGTTGTCGCTGTGCGCCACGACTGGCGGTGCTCGCATATATGGGCTTGCATGAGGCTTCCTACCTTACTTTCGTCAAAGACAAGGTAGCACCTCTTCTATGGTGAGTATCACTGACATATCACATTTTTCACGGGTTCCCGGTCACAGGGCTGCGTCGTCGCGAGGCTCTGCGCTTGGCGTTTGCAACCCCCCCCCCAAAGCCTTTTTGGTTTACAGATGTGTGCTGCGAGCATCATAGCTTAGCACGTCCTTAGCAAAGCGATGGGTGCATGGCACGCCTACGGCGGGTAGGATCCAGCAGCTCAAGATTGACGCAGAAAAGCTCTTCCTCATCCATGCGCATTGCTTCAACGTGTCCTTGATGCAATATGATTGGCTGCCAGCTGCCTATCTTGTAAGACTGGGGTACGACGATTAAGGGACTGGTATGGTGGTGGGTGCCAAAGGTGCGTACGAAGATGCCTGTCAGGTAACTCTCCCCCTAAATAGTAAGAAGAAATTCCTGTCTGATGGAATACATACCGGTACCAGCCTGGCATGCAATACCATGAATACTTACGGAGTACCCATACCAACAGAACACCTATAGTTGCTCCCCGTATCTCCATGGCGGAGCAGCGAAAAGTGTGCCACTGTCCAAGCTTCCTGCCAGGGTGATGCTCATTCCGGCGTATGTTCGACGACATACCCTTCCAATGCGCACCACACTTTAGACCTACAATTTCCGATTCAGTCATCATCAATAGACAGAAATACTACAGACCAGCACCTGCGAGCCACCAGCTACTACTTTCTGTTGCTACGCTTGTCTTGCTGCTTGCCTGATCAATGATGATGCACAAGCACGCGCAAGGCTTGTATTAGTGAGGGTTGTCTGGCACCATCGTCGCTCATTTTCTTTTTCATTGGATGCCGTCTTTAACACCAGCCAGAATCACTACGACACCAGGTACATATGTATCAGCACCTGCATCTTGTTCACAATTACAGAGACACCAGATTCGCACTATTAATTGCATGCTCGCTATTTGCTGTGACTTTCTGTCCCGGCCAACTCAGCAACATGTCTACGGCAGCACCAGGGTTTTGCGCCCGCTAGCTGGCGATGGGCTTAATCACCACGAGGTACCCACGAACACTAACAACATAGTGGGGACTTATCGACCCTCAAAGTGGGCGTTGATTTGCCGTCAGGCATTTCGGATAATCGTAATTTCACGAGTGGCCTCCGTGGTTTGTATCAGGGAGTTCTGTGTAGATCAGGACACGGATCGTCGGTTTAAATCCCACCAGAGGCACCTCATTCTGATTTTCTAAAAGTTAGGCAGTAAAGACTAACCTATAAGGGACAAAGAGTAAGGCAACCACAGGTCTAGTTAGGTTAGGTATAAAAAGTCAAGGGGTATATACTAACTACTATATTACCTTAATACCTTATAATATAATTAAAGTTATAATTATATAAATATTAAAAAATATAACTATAAAGAGAATAATTATAAAATAATTATTAACTACTTTAAAAATATATAAATAATATAGATTTAAATATATTTAAACAAAATAATTAACTAATTAATAATATAAAATATAGTTTTTTATAATAAATAAGTATTCTATTATAAAAAGACTATTAATTACTAAGAAATATTAAGAAATATAATATAATAATAAATAATATATAAAAGAAGGTAGGTTTTTACCTAGATTAGGTCTATTGTTAAGCCACGGGGGGCATCCAGTACTAACGTCAGCAGGGACGTAAGTGACCGGTAACTTATCACTTCTGACAAGTTCTCTGCTCTAGACCGAGAATCAGTCAACAGATTCGCAATACTCTATAAGCACTATTTACTAGCAGATATGCAGTTAGAAGTAGTGTATAGATTAATAATTTTCTCTCTGCTAGCTAGACTTTTTAGGCTACTTATATGTTTCTATGCTTTACACGCGAGCGTTGTCGGTTATAACAACAGGTGTGCTAGTATAGACGTAACATCTATACCTAGATTAGGTCTACACCTAGTATAGTAAGGTACTAGTATAGCTTAGTTATAGTTTTTCTTATTATTATAAAGATAGATATACTAGATAAGCTATGAGCTTAACTAGGGTAATTTAATTAATTTCACGAGTGGCAGATCAACGTCGATCCATCCCTATTGGCACACGCGGCTGGTCCGTCAACCACCGACTACTGATATACACACGACACATTAACTATCATCCCACCACACTGCCCCCGGGGGGAAAAAAAACATCGCCGATCCACACCATCAACTACTACACATTTATTACTACTATAATAGCCTAAAGATAAAGGATAATAATTATAAAAGAAATTCTATAATATAATATAACTACTAAATAATCTATCTACCTAGTTTTTTTTATATATACTTATAATCTAATAAATATAAAATTAATATAAAAATAATAATTAATTTTAAAAATTTTTATCTATTATTTAAATTAATTTATAAAATTTAATAATATTTTATTAGAAATCTTTATAAGTTTATATTATACTATTATCTTAATAGTTTTTAAGATATATAAAATAAGTTTTTATAAATTATTTAAAAAATATTATAAATTCTTTTATTTTATTTTATTTTTATATATTTTTTTATTATTATAATTATTTTTAAATATATTAATAATTAATTTTAAAGTTTTAATTACTTTTATTAAGCTTACTTTAAATACTTAACTTAGTAATATTATTTTTTTTTAATTTATTTTATTATTAATAGTTAGTTTATAACTATTAGTAGTGATAGAGGTTGTGGTGTATCGGCGGTGTATTTTTTCCACCCCTTGACTGCACTGCCATGTCTGATTTCTCTTAGACACCGCCATAGCGGCACTGCTTCACCACAGATCTCGTGTTACTGATTGGCTTATGCCCCTCTTGTTGATCGTGAGCCCATGCCCTCAGCCAGAACACCACACTGCGCCTTCGAGGTTCTGCTACTATAATTCTCGCCATCACAAGCTCATGAAGTGTGGTAGTAAAGTTACAAAATAGTCTCCTCATAGAAAGCATTCACACATGATTCCCGAGGCACTTAACCCACACACTCCCGATAAGCTCAGAGACGAGGCATTGTTTCGGCCCCTATCCACACCTCTTGTCTCTGGGCTGCATCGCGCAATGATCGTCGGTCGATCTACCTGCCCTGTTCATCCTGTCCAATCGGTGGCGCAAAGCTGCCGGACAGATGTCTGCCGCCGCGGAAATCAGCCAAAAACCATGGCGCTTACATGATGAAACAGTTGAATAGTGATTGCATCAACACTTTCGCCCTCTCGACATCCCCACTTGATCCAAAACACTTTTATCTTGCTTGCTACCCGCGTAATGGCATTGTTGTTATACTACATAGAGACTACGCAACACAAGTTAGAATGCAACGCGTCTCTCGATTCACCGCCTCTCCTGAAGAGTAAGGAAAGAAAAGAACAGAAGCAGAGATGGCAGCAAAGCAGAATTAATTACAACACAGACTCGGGCCTATAGCTACTATAAAAGTATAGAAATGCCAAGCTGCTGTGGTGCAATATAACCCTTGCGCGCAGCCAAGCAGCGCTCTAGCTCTATCCATCAAACAGGTTGGATACGCCGTCCAAAGCGTCTGGCGTCGCCCGCCTGCCACCTGCCACCTGTTCCATCCGCGTCGCCCCGTTGGTCTGCTGCGCCGGGGACTCCGTCATGAAGCTCTGCGCCATCTTGCTGCGCCCACCTGTCTTCTTGACGCGCCCGCCTGCACCGTCGCTGACGCCTTGCAGGCCCGCGCTCTTGGCCAGCTTGCCCATCTCAGACACGCTGACGCCTTTGAGGTCGCGGAGCAGCTCCAGCACAATGGCGCGCTGCTGCCGGCTGTGCGACCCGGGCTTGGCCATGTAGGGCTTGAGCATCTCCAACTCGCCCGCCTCGACGTTGGGCAGCGACGTCAGCAGATTGTGCGGCGTCATCGTCGCCGGGCTGTAGTGCACGTATACGGTAGCAATGAGCAACGCGAGCTCCTTTTGCACCTCGACAAAGTACGGCTCGTGAAACGACGTCAAGCAGGCCCGGAGCACGTCGCTGGACAAGTATTCTCGAATCGCCGAGGCGATCTCCGTAGGGATGGAGGAAGAATCGGCCAGGCTCGCGGCGCTGTCGGATTGCGGCTTCTGCGCTGCATCACTTGCTTGGAACTCGGGTACCAGAGAGATCAATAGTCGGAGGACCATGCCGCAGCACCTGGTGTCCCTCATCCGTATTCCATGAGCGCAGAATACCAGCAGTGGCTCTACAATCTCTTGATGTAGCAAGCAAAATCGGCGCAGAGATGGGTATGGTCTCGTGACAAGCACTTGGTCAGGGTGGCGGGCCTTCAGTACGCGAGCCTGTAGTGTCAAGGGATCTAGTTTGGCCTGTTAGTCATTGATTGTCAACATCAGCGCAGCAAGCCAACTTACTTTGTTTGGTGGGGTCCAAGAAGTCGGCCATCATTACAACACCAGTATACGTGACTTGGCGTAGAATGCTTTCGGACTTCATTTCCTCCTTCAGTCCATCTTCGCCGTCAGCCGCCACAGTCTGCTGTGCGTCCATCTTCTCCCACTCGCCATTGACTTTAGCGTCCATCTGTCTAAAGCAAGCCGATAGCAACGGCGGCAGGAAGCGCTCCCGATAATCCACGGGGCAATCATCAACCAGATATCTGACCAAGTTCAGCAAGTTGCTCTGTTGATGAGTAGACAGCCATGTTGAGTCAGCAAAGAGAGCATTCGCCAAGGGCCCGGGTAGCCCTTCAAAGCCGTAAAATTCTAATTCCAGCCGGCTCATGCAGTATATGATTGCATAGGCTGTCTCTCTAACGAATCTGACGGATCCGCGGATTGTTGACGCCAAGCCCTCCATGGTGTTCTTTTTGTCTATCACTCTCGCGTAAAACTCGTCTTTACTGCCATCCGAAATTCCAGCCTGCCAGAACCTGTCACTTAGAACGCGCGAAACCATCGAGCGAGAATCATTGGGCAGCCCGGTCCAGTTTTCCGGGTTATGCGTGGCATGAGCAAAGCTGTCTAAACTCAGTTTTCTGGGAAGAGAGTGTGTGAGGTTTCGAGACTCAGTTTACGCACCTCAGCAATTGTAGAAGATCAGCTAAAAGACTGGAAAAGCCATCCTGCCATAACGCGTATGAAGCTTGGAAGGCGGGTGAAGACTTGTCTAGGCGCTCCACTGAGAAAGCAAGGAATGATTTGGTCGCTCGCAATGGCAGGACCTATCGCTTGATCAGCCATTAAGGGGGAAGTTAGGTCAAGCATGTCAGACGTACCTTGATGCGCTCTTCCATCTCGTTCTGGAGGGCCAGTCCCTCGGCATCGAGTTCACGAGACCCCCAATCTGGAACTTGATTGGCTTGTTTGCGCACCAGATAACTCTGCGCTTTGTCAAGAGCAAGCTGCTCACAAAAACCAGAATATGAGGCAACAGCAAAATTCATACTCTCAGTTTTCCATTGTGCCTTGACAGGCTCGATAAACTCACGCAGCTTTTGAACTTTCATTTGAAGTTCAATGTTGTTTGCTCGATGACTGGGCCATGTTAGAGCTGGCAGCATCGGAACCAAAAGTGGAATACATACATGATGAGGAACAAGAAGCTTCGGTAGGCGAGAGATCGTTTCTCGTCTAGCGTACCAGAAGAAAGCATCTCATTGACTCGAGTCTCGATTTGGTCAAAGACGCCCTAAAAATGGGTTAGCAGCATATTCGTCCTTCTCGTGTCTGCAACATACCAAAAGGTGATCTGGCATTTCAGAAGCAAGTCTTTGCAGTTCTACCATGCTTTCGCTTTGTAGATCTTTGATGGCGTCATTGAATGAACGATAATCAGGCTCGAGCGTGGGCCAAGTCATCAAGATATGCTCAAGAACTTTCAGCATAAAACCCGCATTTTTGTTCAGTGCAGTTGTGGAAAAGACGACTAGTAATTGCAGGGTGCGCTTTCTGATGATCGGATCCTGCTATTTGTTAGAAACGCGCCGACTCCTACTTTAGCTCTCCCCACACTGGGCCTCACCTCGAAGCTCATTCCCAGCAGTTTGTTGCACCATGCTTCCAGATTGGTCTCCAACTCGCTCATTTCGGAGGGTAGCTTTTTCGATTAGTAATTGAGTATACAGCTACTGAACTCGAACATACAGAGCTTTGCTGGCGATGTCTTCGCCACTTCATGTAACCCTTGAGTGTAGCCTCAATGACTGTGAAGTGGGAGTCAACCATGAGAGCGGGCATAGAGTGTTTGGTGTAACTTTGTTCTTCTATTATTAGCCTTGACCGCCACCCTTGAGGGGCGATAACTCACTATTGAAGGCGGGCTGCCCGTCGTATAGATGCTGGAGGATATGTTCAGTTCGGCCTAGGATATGAGACACAGCGTCGACAAGCTTCAGCTGCACAATGGCTTCAATGACCTGGGAGCCATATCTGCGATAGTTGCCCAGGAATGCATGCCGTTCGGGTAGCGTGTCGGTGTCTTCTTGAAGAAAGAGAAAAGTGGCGTCTTCGTTGTCATCTGGGAGGTTCTCGTAGCGAACCATTCTGGAACTGCAAACCTCCAGCAAAGGACCGATCAAAGGAGACAAAATCTCGCCATTGCCGAGATCTTTCCGGTTCAGAAGGCGTGTCCACGAGACGAGGACCGGGATGGAAACCATCAGACTAGAATTTTGAACTACTTGGAGTAGAAGTTGAAGAAAACTTTCCTTAGCAGCGGCACTTGGTAAGCGGCTGAACTTGCGGTCGAAGTAGTCACCCAGGCTAGACAGCATCTCCGACAGCTTTTTGAGAATCTGGTATTTGTCGTCATCAATGTCTGTGGGGTCGACAGCCGCCCATTGGTATAAGTTCTTGCATAGCTCAACGGAGGCTTGGTTATACATTGGTGCAACAAGATCAAGAAACTCCTCGTCGGTAAAGTTTGTTCGGCAGTAAAGTGCATGAAGAGCGTCGAGTGAAGCTTTCTGGATCTCGGGAACGGTAGAAGAGAGACCCTGGCACATATAATTGACGCACCCCGCCGCAGCAATAGCTTTAGGAATCGCCCATGGCATCAGCGAGAGCATCAGAGACAGGCCCTTGACTGTACATGATTTGACCTCTTCATTGTCTACCGGCGAAACCGCTAAGCAGCTTCCGAGAAGCACGGAGAGCCTGCTGAGCCAACCGTCATGACCACATCGCACGTCAGGGCCAGGGTGTCGGTTGGGGAACGCTTCCACAAGCACAGCGGTGGGAGTGAATACTTCGACACATGCCTTACTAAGGACACCCTCGCGCATTGCCACCACCGAGTCATCTCCGGCAAACACCTCGTCGGACAAGGTCTCGAGAACAAACATGACGAGTTCTTTGTGCACTGCGGAGTCGGGAACCTCCCAGAGCTGAACAAGCATGGCGTCCATGTCTAGCCATTCACCTCCCCAGCAGCGCTTCGCTACCTCGACCCAGAGCTGTGCAGTCTTGTTTCGAAGGTATGCGGGATCACTGCGAGAAACCGCCTGGGCCAGCTCCAAAACCCAGTTTCTCAGAGTCAAAGCCTGCTCCTCTGTATAGCCAGACCACTTGTAACGGATCGCATGCTCCAAGAGCGACAGCGCGTAGTGTCGCACAACAGGCGCTTGTGACTTGTCGCTGGCGAGGTTGTAGCCTTGTATCGGAGCTTCGTCATGGCTTTTAATGTCTTCGAGAAAGTTTTGCGCATCGCGTCGAGCATTATTGTTCGAGAACGGGCTATGGACAACATCGAGAGCTTCTCGAATCTTGGCCATGGGTTCTGCAGCCCCGCCACTGCCACCCAGCGCGGCGGCGCCGTTGGCAGCCATAGTTGTTCTGTCACGGGACGAGCGACCGACGTGAGATGTGGTGTAATCGTGTTCCTGAGCTCGTGCAGCTGTGTGGTTGGGGCAAGTTGGCGGAGCTCTGGTGTGCTACTTTTCGAAGCGGTGTGTTATCGCGGTGACATGGAGAACGAAGTGAGTGTGAGAAAACAAAGTGATGCGCAGACTCTTTTGTGACGTGAGTGGGCACCAGAGCGATCGAATGTGTGATGCAGGTGGTCGCCGGGAAATCCGTGGCGCTTGCAGGAAAGATGCACGGCGAGAGAAAGGCGTTGGCAAGATGAATGAAAGATGCCTCGCTTCCATGACAGGGCTGCAACTTTCAAGAGCTGACCGAGACTTGGGCTGGCAGACAGAAGGCGGAAGGCCCTGGTTCAATCTACATGGTGGAGAGCCCCGCTGCTGCGCGTCGCCCGTCAAGACAGCTTACAGCTGGGCGTAACACGATGCACACGTGCAGGCCGCGCGGTAATGCAGGTCCCGAATTTCTGAAAGCTGAAGTATTTCGAGATGGACCAGACCATACTTATGCTGTAGGTTGTCTGTTGTGTCCGTGTTGAGGAGTTATATCGTAAGTTGCCAGTTTGGGCATTTTAAAGCATCTGCAACGGCCACCACGACAGCCCATGCCGGCCAGCCCGTTCGAGGCACGGATAATAGGTACGGCACTGTCAGAGTAGTGGCATTATTATAACCAGTTGACCCCATGGTCTACTCTATCATCAGCGGAGGTTTCACGTCCGTTTGTTTGTTTGCAAATTGTGGTTTCTAGCCATCACCACTCATCGGCTACGCTGCGTCTATTCAAGAATGCACTTCCACGTGCAAAGAAGTCTATCATAAAAGCTGCTCGACACACAAGTCAATTCCTTCCCTTCCCTTGGTACAAAATCACTAGCATAATTCATGCTCTTGTGTTCTTCAAACCTGGCAACGACTCGTAGTGACCATGATCTACCGTCCTTCCTACTCAAGTCAACTACCCGAGCGCCTCCATGCATGCACGATGCAAGCAGCACTATACGAACTGCATTTTCTTCCGTCCTTTGACTAATTAGATCTAATCTCCAAACACCACCCTCGAGATTTTCCTCCAGAACTTGTTCAGCTCGTCGCGCACCACGGGACTCATGTAAGTCGTGAATGATGAATACCCGCAGGTGGTCATCATAGCTTCCTGTTACGACAGCCCTTCCGCCATCGTCGTCTTTCAAGTCCAAAGGTAATATGGCAGTAACGCCAGCATTGTGCTTCCCTTTGATCAGCATAGGACAATATTGCTCTTCTGGCAGGGCGGACGGGTCGCCCGCAGGCCAGCTGCAAGACGTGTATCGCAGGATTGAGTCATCTCCACCGCAATACACTGTTATATCAACAGGCTGGTGCTCTGAGGGTGGCGCCAAGGGCGAGAGTGCAATAGACCATGCCTCAAGAACGTTGGAGATATGTATGTCGGAATGTCGGAAAATTTTCCACTGCTCATCCAAATAAAGTAAGCGAGCATTGCCTGTGGAAGTTGTTACAGCCACAACATTTGCTAGTACTGGATGCCATTTGCATTGGAGGTAGAGAACATCCTCCCCAAGATCATCACACCTGCTTGTGGCTAGATGTTTCAATGGCGCAAACTTGTCAGTGGCGTCTAATCTGAAGATGGCGAGCGTCCCCGTACTTGAGATCGCGGCCAGGATGTCTTGACTCTGCTCAATTTCATTGTTGAACCGAATGTCGAGTAAAGCAGAAGGCTGCGAAATTGTCTGGATCAAGGATCTTTATTGATGTATTAATGAGGCGATCTTGAGCAGAACTGAAGTATACGCGACTTACAATTTCGGAGTCGATTCCTCGCCAATATCGAACACCAGCAAGCTGCCGTTGCGATTTTGCGACTTCTTTTCGACGCCGGGCTCAGTCTCGACCATCTCCGGAGCGCCGCCCTCCTCGCGTTGTAAATTGTAGGTCCCAATCACAAAATAGCTAGGATATTTGCGACAAAATTGTAGGCAGCTAGGAGGTAAATCCAGTGTACGGGAGTGTGTTGATTTCAATACAGGTGCGGCGTCCATGATTGGCTAAATGACCATGGACTCTTCGATGCGTATAAAATGCGCAAAAATGGAAGCGGCGGCTACTAAATAAGACAACGTGGTTCATTTGTGGGCCTCGCTCGCACTATGTACCTACGCGGGAGAGGGGTGTTTTCTGACATGCCCTCTGACAGATTTTCGTAGATGATATATTATTAAGGCATGTTACCATGGATTCGGGCTTCTCGGATCGGATGTCAGAAATTTTTTGATATG